CTGGCTGCAAATGTGAAGAAGCATAAACTCAAGGACAACAAATTTGATCCAACTCGTGTGAGAAGCGACAAAAAGAAGCATCAACAACTTCGACGCTTGGACGCTGGAAAAGTCCAGTCCTATTTGCAACATGATGAAGAGGAGGATTGCAAAGACAATGATGAACAGAGCGGCTGGCTAACCCCTCAGGGATCTGTGGCTTTGGCAGTGCGTCGGAACCTGGGGAATGCATCAGCAGAGGACACAGGGCTCATGATTCTGCACGATATTTCCAAACAAAGCATTCTCCGAAGTGAGTGTCGCGCTGGCGCAGCTCTCATAGCCAGCGCCCGCAATTTCTTTCGGGAGTGGCAATACGAAGATGACCACATGAATGATGATGAGACTAGTTTCCTTTTTCTCCAGTACAAACAAGATGCAACCAATGCATCCAAACACAGACAGAAAATGCAAGCAATGGAGATTAATGCTGCGTACCTCATTGCAAAGCAAAGCGAACTTGCAGACGTGACGGATTCTGACTTCAGTGGCATACGGCGGCTGGCTGATGTGGTTCCTGTTCATGATGGGTACGGAACTGGTGTGGGTACCGTGGCCCTATCTAGAAAGCTCCTTCTATCACTTTCTGCTCCAACTTGGGAAACATTCCTCTCTCGACCTGCTTTGTATGATGGTGACAGGCAGCAGTTTGGGAAACGACAAACAAACTGGTTTGATTGGTTTTTGCTGACGTGGACCTGACCCAAGCAATTTGATTTTGCTTTGTTGTTCAATTGCTGGGAGTCCGCAGTAGACTGACACGTTGGACATTGAACAACCTATGATATGGACTCAACACTGACTCAACTCGACAAACAATTGTGCATTGCTTAGTGACTGACACGGAGACACAGAAACATTGATGATGTCATCTGTCACCACCAACTTTTAACTTCGTGCTGCGTTAATTGCTAGAATTGTGGTTGAGTTGAGTCGTAGCCATTGGAAACGGGTGCCTCTGCAGGTTGTGAATTTGCACTTCGCAGATGAACCAAAGGCAATGGAACACAAAAGCAACAAGAGCTAGTAACTAGAGCAAAAAACAGAATGACTGGAGGACCAAAGCGAGGGGAGGAAGACTAGTGACAAGTGACCAAACAAAGAGAGAGAGAGAGATATAGGGAAAGGGAGAGAGTTGTGGTGATAGTGGTGATATTGTGATATAAGTTTATATATGAGAGAGAGAATGGAGAGGAGAGATGAGAAGATGAAGATGAGAAGAAAGAATGACCATTATATGGAATCCCGCTCAGTGAGAACTCAAGTAAATATATTGTTGAACTGATGTGCGGCGTAACGCGTGGATATTAGATATTGCATTCGATTTTGGTATTAGATGTTGGAATTGGAAAGTAGTAGCAGTCGTAGTAGCAGTAGTAGTAGTCGTCGTCGTAGTAGTAGTAGTAGGAGTAGCAGTAGCAGTAGCAGTAGAATCACATACAAAGCGGCTGGACTCTGGAGAAATGAAACACACACACACACACTGGTAAATAAATCTGATGTATCACAGCCAACTTTTGTAGTGCATAGTCTAGTGTAAATTAATCTTTGGTTTGACTGACATGCCATGACATGCCAGCCACTAATCCCTGCAGCACAGGATTTATACTTGAAACCTCCCAAGGCCTTTGCTCCTCAGTCCTTAAGTCCAAACAGGTCCAAACATTAGCCAAACATTCAAGCATTCTCTACATGACTACACATGCAGTCGTGCATTGCTGCTGAACGCCGAATGCCGTGCGCTTGTGTCATGCGCTTGTCACCGTGTCACCTGTCACTGTCATTCAACTATTTTCGCAACCAGTGATGAGACTTCATGTGTGTCGCCTTTTTTGTTTCAGTTCCAAGCACGGACAAAGATATTCCTAGCCTGTTGTACAGTTGTACTTGTACTGTCAAATGTTTGTGAGTATGCCTGTGTGTGTGTGTTTCCATCTCTCTTTTTCACATGAGTATCAATAGTATTAATTTGGCGGCATCCAGGCATCCCCTTCCCAAATTCAAAATATATGAAAATATAGATTTATATATTTATATCATATCATAACATATATATATATACATATCGAGATATTGTCTCGCCGTCACCTCCGACCACCCTGTGTGATGCAGTGATGCGGCGCCTGAGCCCGCAGAGTTTCGTTTGTTTGACTTATCTTGCAACAATCTTGTCACATTTTGTCATTCCAGGAGTTCTGACTCCGATGGCCCTCAAAGATTGGCTTTTGTGATGGCCACCACTGATGGTGGTCCAAACGAAGTGTATGCAAAGAAGATCATTCAAGCGTTGTTGCGTGGGCTCTCTGGGGTCTTTTTCCTCCCCAACAACTGCTTAGAGCACATCTCGCACATAGGTGTACTGGCAGCGCTGAAGCTTTGTGATCAATGGCTGAAGGGTCATCGGCAATGGAAGTTTTTCAGCAGTGTTGCCATCATCGCAACTACATTGAGGGACCTGAGTCAATCGCTCTTTCGAACCTGGAAGTCTTTATACGGTGATGCTTCAGCAATTGAAGCCGTGAAGGCGTTGTTCCCACGTTGCATTGCGGGCCGTTGGGGGTCAATAGACCACACAGAGGAGAGGCTTTTGCACGCAAACATCGGCAAACTGGCAAAAGCGGTGAAGCATATGTTTGAGGCTACTCCGACCTTGCTGGAGAATGACAAAGCGGCGAGCAAGGCTGCTGAAGAAAACACAGTTGACCAAATTGCGTTGGAGGAAACAAAAGAGTTCAAACTCAAAATGGGGCGCTGGAGACGTCATACGCACACGGTTCTACAAGATTCACTTTTTGAGAAGCTGGTCGATGTAATGCATCAAACTCGCCGACCATGGATGCACCTGTCTTTCTTTCTCAAGAAGAAGCTCCCAAAGGATTCACGTGGTGGCCACCTCTTCTTGTTGGTATGCGGAAAGGCACTCGAACTCTTGGATGAGTTTAGCAAAATGATTTTTAACAGCAGCCTAGCGCCCAAATTATGGAACCCTTTGATTTAGGTTAAATTTAGTTACATCTGTTGCATCACATTCGTCTTACATCAGTTGTAGTTTGTTATGTTATATAAAATATACTATGTATTTATGTTGATACATGTTGATACTAATATATACGAACCGAATAACCTATATACGTTATTTATATCAGCAGTCTGCCCTCGCTCTCCCCGCACTACGGTTATACTACATATTACGATGGGTTCCTTTCTTGGTCAGCTTGGCTTAAAGTCTTTTGACGTTTGCTCAGCTCAGGTGAATTATGGGCTGCGAACTTCTGCCTTGGGCTAGAGGCCAGAGATGCCGATTGGCTGCGTCGATTCTTGTTGGCAGTGCTGTTGCAGCAAGCATCCTGCTTCGAACGAAAGGTGGTCCAACCTTTGGAGAAGTTTCCGTTCAAGCTGTTGCTCTTGGCCAAAGCGGCTGATGATGAAGTTTGCTCTACGCGGCAAAAGGTGGCAGCTGAGATTCTGGGAACGCAAACTCACATGCTGGAAATCAATGCTCGCAAGATGAAATCCACTTTTGAGAGCGATTTGACCGTGGCTATGAATCAGGGATTGTTGGTTGGCCACCTTCGTGTGTCCATCAGGGGCCTGGCGCAGAGATGGCAAGCAGACACCCGTGAATCTGAGCGCATAAACAAAACACTGACGTTGCTATCAGAGCGTTGCCCAACGATCTCTGATGAACTGAAATCATGCCGGGCATGCTTGAAGCACTTTCTTGGTCAAGCTGGCTCCCCTGGTGCCCCTGAACTTCGTAGAAAATGGTCACAGTACAAGCCAGTAGCTAGCAGGTTGATGGATCTTTGCTTGGCCAGCTGGCCTGAGAGGCTTGATGTACAGGAGGACTGTTCAAGATGGAGCCCGCCTGCCATTCCAACAGATCTGCCGAATGACAAGGAGCTGTCCAAAATCCATGATAAGTTGAATGTGAATCCTCGACAAACAATGTCAAGAAAATGGGCAGCTTGTTGCAACATGATTCTCAACAAGAAGTTGAAGACAATTCGGGATGCGGAGTCTGGAGTTCCCATCATCAATTTCAGCCAACGAGCGCCAGATGGGTCTGGGCCTCTCTCTTTGGCATTCTACGTTGCAGCAGACAAAGTGTGGACAAGCCGCAGGTTTGTTAAGTGCTGCCTGCGCGGGGAGTCTGAGCTTTGGTTGGAAGAGCCCTTGAAGTTTTTTAACTCTGTTGATGTTATCGATTCATATTGGTCTGCAGTTCAATCTGGTTGCAATGTTGGCGTGGTGCACATCCAAACTGATCTTGTCGCCCAGTCTGAGTCTGAACGCAGGTTTAAACTACCCTTCATTGGGACTCGCAAGGCAGCTAACTGGATTATGACGTTGAACCCGCCAACAAAAAAGGTCAGGAAAAAGTTGCAGAAGTGTGACCTTGACTCTGATGAGAATGAGGACAGTGACGATGGACAGGAACACGACGAAGTTGAAGTTGACGACAACGACAACAGCGCAGCCTCTGAGACAGATGATGCTTTTGAGAGCGGTTTGGCTTCTCTCATGGAGGAATTGGAAGAGCTTGAGGCTGAGCACGGTTTAGGCCGGGGCGATGGTGATGGTGATGACGAGAATGAAGCTACAACAGCGCGCAGGGCAATCAAGCAAGTCCTCCAAGAAACAGATCCTCTAGAGCCAGACGAGCTAGAGTTGACAAAGAAGGCTGAGGAGTTGGAAGCAGCTGAGGAAATTGAACCATTCGTGGGAGAGAATGGCAGAAAGCGCAAGCCGCTTTGAAATCAGGTGTTTGCTCAGTGCCTACAAGCAAAGAAGTGAGTGCTTGCCAGACTGGGGAAGACATTGACGAAAGCGCGATGACCGAGGCAATTTTGAACAAAGCAGGACGGACAGACCAAACAGTTTTTGAAGTTCGGTTGTTGTGTAAGTTGTGGAGATGTTAGCATTGTGAATGTCTGTCTAACAAACATGTCACAGGAGTCATGGGGAACACCGAGGAGAAAAGCCCACCCGAACCTGCTGAAGACGGCAGCTGCTCGGTTGTGAGTTTAGTTCAGTTTAGGTCATGTCCAGTTTTCAAGTCTTGATCTCTGGTGGGCAAAGTGGTGATAAGATTAAATAGTCCAAGAAACAAATTGACCAACCCCAACCCCCCATTGTACCAGCCACCATTGGACCATTGGCATTGTTTTGATTTCTGGACTCTGACGGTCTTGCCGGTCTACGGATTGGTGGTAGTGGTTCGCCCAGCCATCAAAGGAGAGGGTAATGAAGATGTGGATCGTTTCTGGAAGCAGTGGAATGTCAACTTTGAGGGTAGCCTTCGTTGCTTTCAGTACTACTTGAAAGCACAAACACACAAGCCCGGCGAGGGCCCTGGCGGTGTCTCTTTAATTGTGCATCCACATACTGGTGACCTTGCCTGCATCCAATGGGCAGTAACAGGGAAGACTGGCCGGGTAGCTGACGTGGACGACAACAACTACCTGAAGTGCATAGTGCCAGTCGGCCCAAAGCGAGTTCCTTTGGATCTTGAAGAGGCCCAGATTCTTATTCCTGCCGCCGGGGCATTTGCTTTGCGGGAGCGACGAACTGCAATGGAAGCTAGGCGATCCAAAGTGGACTTGAATCGTCTACCTGATGACCTGCTCCGCTTCATGGAGATGTGGCGGGCGTCCAACAGTCTCAGCCCAATGGCTGAAAATTGCTTTATTTGCGGTGCAGCAGAGTTGTCAGCTTGTCCAACTAGCGTCGAAAACGAGGTTGGTGAAGAGTTGACTCAGACTCAGCTGGCGTTGTGCCCCATGTGCTTGCTTTGCAGTCATCCACAGTGCTGCTGGCAGCTTTCCTGTGACAGTGGACAACATATGAGACCATTGGATAATACTCTGGATCTGGAGGACGCTCGGTTGACATCGCTCTTTCCAGCGATATTCAATGAGGGTGACAGTGACAGTGCCGAGAGGAAGCAACGTGGCTCACATCTGGGTTGGGTTGGCAGGAGAGGAGAGGTTTCAGTTCAAGTGCAAGTTCAAATATGGCAGGAATCGCAGGTTTTGTTTCCACTGTTTCCATGTTTATTGTGTTGGACGTGTGTTCCCTTCTTCTACCTTATACAAGCAGGGCCCACACACGCAACAAGCCTGTTGGACGGACAAACAAGCAACGGTATCGGTATCCACTCCTACAACGTGGAGCCAGTTGAGGTGGGGTTCTCTCCACGCACGCACGAACGCACACAGCCTTCGAAGCCACAACATCTCGAAAGTGTTGTTCCGAAAGTGTTGTTTCTGCCGGCCGCTCTCTCATCTATATCTCTGCCTATCTGTCCGCTGTTGCTGTTGCTACGCTTGACCTGTTGCTACACTATCCGATCGTAGGTCCTATGGTCCTATCACGCAGCTGCTTATGTAGCCCAGAACTTGTAGTTGTAGTTGTAGATGGCTCTAGGCTCTAGCCTTTTTAGACGCGTACACCACCTGCGCCGCGTGCACTGTACTGTACACTGTACTTTATAAAGACTGACCGGCTGACCAACACCGGCCCAAGTTGCCCGAAGCCGAAGCCCAAACCACATCCATTCTCAAGGCTTGCTTAGGAATAGAATAGAATAAAAGATAAAAGCCCATCCATCTGGTAGGCAAGTAGGTAGATGTGATGTCATTCAGTCAGTGTTGGACCGGCTGTCTATCAGGCCAGGCAAACCCGCTCTATGACTGTCTATGAGACTATGACTATGACTCTATGACTCTACGGATACGATGGGATAGAGGCCCTAAGGTCATGAGCTGCAAACAAAGCCCACTGCCCCACTGGACATTGGCCAGCAGACCCCTTCCCTTCCCACTTTCCTAATCCCCTTTGATGACCCAGAGCGGAGGGAAAAAAACAGTTAAGTAGTGAACCACTGGATGATTCAATGACCCAATGACCAAACAAAACCCTGATCCGGATCCTGCTACCTTTCTAGAAGGCAATAGTTGCAACCGTTGCAACAGTTGCATGATAACCACTGAACTGCAGCGGCGACGAAGCACGCACACCACACACACACACATATACACAGACACACGTAACACAGTAACACAGCATTCACTGCATTCACATTTTGTCAATTGTGAATTGTGAGTCATTTATCGTGTGGTTTGCAACAGCCGTACATACTATACGTGTATACTGTATACTGTATACATGTATGTATGCTGTTACAGCTGTTACAGGCTGTTACATGTAGTCAGGGTCATACCGTCATACCCCAAAACAAGAACTCTGGTTCACTGATTTGTTGACTTGATGACCGTCAATTTATCAATGGAGTCAAGTCAATGGAGTCTAGGTAGACGGCTGGCTGTTGCCCAGTTTTGTCATTCTTTGGTTTGTGCTTCTTTGGAAATCCAAATTTGATGAAAGTGAGGCTGTGTTCTCTTTGCAGCAGCTGGATATGGAAGGTCAAATCAACATCAGCCGGTCCTTCTGGGTCTATGTAGCGTACCCCGGCATTTTGCCGGGCTGGGTGCAGGCGAGGTTCAATTAGCACGAAAGTAGATGCGGTGTAAAGACCGTGACCTAAAGACGAAAACAGATTTGAAGGCAAGTTCTAAATGGAAACAAGAGTCTACATCCATCGAATTGGGTGGGACGGGAGGGGGATTGTGGGTGGTCGAAGCGGTGAAATTAAAGCTTGTACTGGCTAAATACATGGACTCCGTGGCAGGCTCTTGCTCTTTGTTTGTGGCTCGCATCGCTTGATGTGTACTCCTTTTTGCTTTGCGTGGGCCCAAGATCTTTTGTTTAACCAGGCGACTGTTCTCAAGAAAAGGGATGCATTGCAACGCAAATAATCACCATTCCAATTCCCAGCACATGAAACCGTTTGTGCTGCATGAGGTCCAAGAACTGATTGGTTTTGTGGTTCTGGTCAATTGCTTCTCATGCCAAGGCCCGCAACTGGTGCCATGGAAAAGCCGGGTGTTTGGTGCCAGCATTGATTTCCAGGCTGGAAAGTCAAGAGGGATGGAAAAAGTTGGAACTAGATGTATCGTATCTAGATTGATAATTGTTTACAGATTGTCAGATTCACCACACCACACCAATGATTTCCAGCACGTCCATCCGGTCCGCCCAACTGTGCGCGCATCAATCAAATGAATTGACAAGCCATGGACATTTTGTTGGGTCAATTAATCAATGATATGCTTGTCGTGCCGCCAAGGCCAAGGCCTGCAATTGGCGCCACTGGCAAAGCCTGGTGGTGTTTGGTGTCAGCATCAATGTCCAGGCCTCTTCCGGGAAGTCAAGAGTTGGATTACTGATTACACCACCAGCACATCAAAGAGTTTGTGCATCCTGCATCAAATGCATCAAGCGTCCAAGAACTGACGAGTACTGAGTACTGGATTGGTTTTGTGGTTCTGGTCGATTGCTTCTCATGCCAAGGCCCGCAACTGGTGCCATGGGAAAGCCGGGTGTGTGGCGCTGGCATTGATTTCCAGGCTGGAAAGTCAGTCAAGAGTCAAGAGGAGGGACTGTCCAGGGACTGTTACAAAACAATTGGCCATAGACTCATAGACATGGAGTGATGGAGCGTGTGAATGCACTTGTTGCTTCTTGCTTATCCTTCTCCGGCTTGTCCGTGTTCCATGATTCCATGTTCGTTTTAGTCATGCAGCAAGTGCTTGCAGTCCCAGAAACATAACGAGATGCCATGTATTTGCAAACCCTTTCAGGCTCAGTTCCGTTTTGTTGTAAAGGTGCAATTGTATATAGAGTCAGCCAGCTTTTTTTGCATCCAGTGTCTCATCATTTGCACTGGAGTAATGGAACGTCGGGAGCTCCAACGACCAGCACGGCAGTCAATGCTTGAAAACATCACCAATGAGGTCCAAGAAGCAGAGACAAAAGAGCAAACCAATTGCGCAATTGGCTTCAATGATGCCTGCCAATTTGCCAGCTCCTACGGGACCATTTACAACTTTGCTCCTGGGTCTGAAGCCACTGTGAACGTGCATCACCACCACCACCATCACCACCACCATGATCACCATCATCATGGTCATGGTGGCAACCCGATGCACGATTGCGCTTCTGACTCACAAAAGACTGGTGGCAACCCAGGTGATCAAAAAAAGAAGCGCCGCAAGCGGGGCCGGGAGCACTGTGTTCCTGAAACGGCGGTGGTCAGCGAGGAACCTGACGAAGAGGAAGGCCCCCTTGCACGAGTGCCACGTCCAGATCTGCGTTTGCCACGACCACGACCAAGGGAGATGACCTGTGGCCAATCGGGACAATCTCATTGGGAGTGTGAATATGCTCCTTGTGAGGATGGGTCTGATTTTGAGATGGAGGATGTGGATGAGGTTGCCCCTGGGCCGGTTCCTACTTCCTCGCCAAACCGTGGGGATTCGTCGGTTGTGGAGCCAAATCGTGCTGAGAAGATCACTGAAATGATGATGGAGCTTGCAAACCGTGCAAGCCAAAGGGTGGACCAAAGGGCTCTGAGCGCTCCCCGGCCTTCTCATCGCCCTTAGATCTCTTTAAGTTGGCTCAGTTTTGCACGTCGGGCGGCTGAACAGTGTGTGTGCATTTGATATTTGCTGCCTTGCGCAATTGGGGGTTGTTTGCCTCAGCAGCTTCATATCAGCGCACCTTGCCCGTGCAGACTGTTGCCGAGAGTATCCGGCCAATTCATCAACTTGATTTGATGGTTTAGTCATACCGTTAGGGTTTCTGTCTTCCTGTCTCCCATGTTTGCGGCCCGTTGCCATTGTTTAGCCTGCAAACAGATTCTGACATAGCAATGCAGGATGAAACAACTTGCGTCAGCTGCTCGTGCTCCTGATGTATTCTGGACAGGTGTCAGTCAATGTGACTTCTGTTGTTGGCCATTGAATGTTGATTGTCGATAAATGCTGGGGCCAGCTTTGCAGGTGAGGATGGGTAATGGATGAGTTCAATGTCAGGCAGGGCCTTGACTGGGTTCAGTTATGTTGATTCGTAGATGCAATATGCTCGTCAAACAAATGCAGGTGAGTTGTTTGTGGAACATGTGTAGTAATCATATGTTTTCTGACAGCTCTTGTGGTGGAAAGAAAGCAGTCTTTGCTTGTAGAGCCATTAGAATTGCACAGGTAGTCGTGTTCAGGAGTTTGTTTGTCTATTTGAGACACGCCCCGCAACTATACACATGCTTGACCGACATTAATGGTAGCGTCATCATATTTCTTTTCATCCTGTGTCATCCTGTGTCCAGGCTGGAGTGCGTGTGCAAACAATCGCACAGGCACTTATCCAACACCAAGCTGCAACCTTATAATGGCAAAAGCAGGAAGCAGTAAGCAATCTCAAAATCACATGGGTGATTCAGAGCTTCATTGCATAGTAGAACAAAGTGATGTCATTGGCTTTCCTATTTTGTTACACATATATATATATATCATGCACTCCCAACAAAATAACTAATAGTTATCCTAATCATTTTGCGATATAGGTTCAGCGCACTCTGACGAAAATAACAACACATTGAGAAGATGAGACGAAACGATGTGTCTGTCTCAGGCCTGACAGATGGCTTTAAAACGTTCTGGCCTTGAATTTGTGACTGTCAAGATGTCTTTAAAAGCACATGTTCTAATGCTCAAGCATTTGCATACATGTTTCTTTTTGGTGCAAGTATCAAAAAAATTGCAAGATTCTGCCACCTTGACTTCAAAATATTAAAGCAATAAGGGGGATGTCGCAGGAGTCAGGTTGCGAGGAGGGGGGGGTC